GGCCTGAGACGCTGTTCAGATGTACGCAGAGCAGGCGCGGAACGCACTGGCAAGGGGGGCGAGCGGCACATCAGGGCACCCCGGACATTTTCAAGCTCACACAGTCCCCCTGAGTGGGGGCGCTGGGGCTGCGGGCCTGACGGCACCCCCGAAATGCAGGGGTGGCAACTCCGCAAGGAGCAGTGAGTCAGAGGGGCTCCCCCACGGGCTCCTCGCCCGTCCTTCCTGGCACAATATGGGGCCAGCGGGAGTCCTCTGCCTGGGGAACTGACCACAGAGATGCCCGGTCACAGCAGTAAGAGGCCAGGGCACCGGGACGATCGGGTCTCACGGCCACGTGACCGAAGCGCAAAGGTGCACACGGAACCGCTCCCGCGGGCAGCGTGTCCAGCTGCAGGCCACCGCGACCCTTGGAGACCCCCCACACACACACAGCCGCTGCCCAGGGCCCATGGGGGCCAGACAGATGGCCGGGGCGGCCTGCTGGGGGGCTGTGGGGAGCGGGGAGGGCGGCGGGTGCCCTGGCTGCGGGCGGGCTGGAGCCCCGGGAGCGGGACTAAGCCCACCCAGCAAGTCCGGTGGCCAGAGGCCTCCAGCCCAGGCCTGCAGGGCTGAGCTGGCTGCCCTGCAGAGTGGGGCCCCCAGAGCTGCCCCCTCCCAGCCAGCCACCCCCTCCTGGAGCCCCAGTCCAGCCGCAGGCCTGTCACGCTGTCCCCAGGGAGAGGGGTGCAGCGCTGGGGCTCAGGTTTCCGGTGGCTGGGGGACCCAGTTCCGCGGGTTTGTGGGAGCTTCCGTGGGAGCGCGGGAGGCCAGGCTGCAGCCGCCACCGTTCTGGGCCTCCAAACGACAGCGCCTTTCCGCTCCCATCAGCAGGGGCCTAGCGAGCACCCCCACACCTCTGAGACACACGCGGCCTCCAGACGCCCCCACCCCACTTCCGACCATCTGTCTCGCGGTGGCTCCTGAGCCATATGAGCCCCCGGCCACTCTGGTGACCCAAGTGAGGGGCCTCTCAGGAGGCCAAGGGGTGGACGGTTGACTGCCAGGGCTACCTCAGGCCTGTGGCTGCAGAGCACGGAGCCTGGACACTCAGCCCTGGGGAGGAGGGCACGGAGCTGGGGTCCTCCCAGCCGGCTGAGAGCTCCTGGGGGACAGGATCTGAGAGTGCCCGGAAGGGAGGGGAGCGGGGGGCTGGACCCTTGGAAGCTTCTGGTGGCCTCCCAGGCCAGAAGGTGCACCTGTGGCCTCGCACCCTAACTGTGTCATGAGACGGGGGCTTCCCCAGGATGGAGCCCCCAGCCAGCAGGGCCCCGGGGCAGCCTTTGAAGACCCAAGGCCTGCGGACAGCCTGGGCCCGTGGACAGCCCTCCGCCTGCAAACAGCCCCCCGCCCCAGACACCCCCAGTGCACACGTGCTCTCATCCGAGGGTGGCCAAGGAGGCCAGCGGCAGGCCCTGCGCCCACCCACACGCTGTGCCCACCCAGGGCCAGCAAGCCCAGGCCTTGCCCAGCCGGGGGAGGGGAGCCCCCACCCCACAGCCCAGCGCCAGGCACCCACCCGGGCTCTCCGGCCCGGCAGGCCTCACCCCACCCCTCAGCCTTCTTCCCCCCACCGCCCACTCTCCAGCTTCCCGACCTCACTCGGCTCATCAGCGCCAGGTGGAGGGCAGGTGGCACCGCCCCCCCTGGCCATGCTCCATGCCCTGTCCTTCCCCCACCCAGCATCTGCCAACCCCAGTCTCTGCGCCAGCTGAGAGGCAGGCTGCCCCTCCCCCGCCGGGAGGCTGCAGTGGGAGACCCGGGGCCTCCCCGGCTCCCAGGGCAGCCAAGTTCTCCCAGACGAGGCAATTTCTACCCAGGGCCTCAGTTTCCCCATCTGCAAATGGAAATCATAGTCCTGTGTAGAGAACTGTTCCATAAAACAGGGGACAAAAATGTGAGGAGGGACCCCAAAAACAGGCACAAGGCGCAGAGAGATTCGCAGGTCACGGCTGCCGACCCCTCCGTCCCCTCCTGGTGAGAACTGCCCTCAGCAGGCAGCCCAGTCTCTGCTCCAACTGGCTTCACCAGCGCCGCCCACCCTGTCCCGCCCACCCTGTCCCGTCAGCACTCCAGGCCACTCCCTGCGGCGACTCCCGCCAGGACTTCCCTCCACCGGCCAAACACAAGCACCCACCTTTAGAGGAGAGAGCAGCCGTCACATTCCTGCACCCCAAGTTCAAGACTCAGGCACCTGCAGGGCATGGGGACCTCCCCCGTGTGGCTAACTCTGCAGGACCTCAAGTGCACCTGTCCGCCCTGGCTAGTGTTGAGCCTGGGGGAGCACACTCCCCAGTGAGGCCCTCAAACAAGCCGGCAGAGCACGTGCACTCGGTCCTGCAAACAGCTTCAGCCCACTGCTTTGTTCATGTAGAAGCTCCAAGAAGCCCCAGGCCCGGTGCCAACATGCACCCCACTCCCTGCGTCAGCACATTTCCTGTTTTTCCCTGCACCTACAGACCCTACATCTACCCATGGGCAGTCCCAATAAACAGACTCCGACTCCAGACCCCAGGCTCCTGCTTCATTCTCTCGCGTCTCCGAGTGTCCTACATTCGGGCGAAGGTAGTGGTCAGCGCACCCCTGAGAGGGTTAGCAACACCCCTGGGGTGAGGCCATCGCAGACAGCCTTGGGAGAGCGGTCGCGAAAAAATCGAGGCCGGGGTGACCCCTGCCTCGGGCGTGCCACACCCCCAACCTGTTCCTCCCGCCAGGCGACCTTCTCCGCTTGGACGCCTCAGCAGGGGGACAGGTACAGGATGGACCACTCCACCAAGCCCCGCACTTCCGGGGGCCACTCGCCCTTCCAGGGGCACAGACGTCTTGGTCAGGCTCTTAAAGCCCCGCCACCTTGGCTGCCACAAAGCACGGACCTCCTCACAGTCACGTGGGGCACCCGTGCAGTCTGAACACGGGGGTCCACCTGCAGCCTCGCCCGACCTCCCTCTCCCCAGCAAGGTGCCGGCTGTCCGGCCACGCGCCCACCGCCCGCTCCCAGAGCAATGTTCCTGCAGATGGAGGCTGCTGTCATCTCTTTGCTTGGCACGTCCAGTGGGTCCCCAAGACTTCCAGGTTCAGCTGAAAGCCCTGAGCAAGCCGTGTCAAACCTGGCCTCTGCTCACCCCCCACCCCCACCCCAGCACACCCCATTGTCCCGAGACGCACGCCCCCACCTCACGGCCTTTCCACACCTGCACGCCTAGCACCCGCCTCGGCCACTGTCACCCACTGTCCTGCCCAGCCCGGCCCCGGCAGGAAGGCTTCGGGGACCACGGGGCTCAGCTCGGCCCCCTCTGTGCACCCACCCCAGCCGGCACCGTCTCTCCACCGTCTAACAACCGTCTGTCTCCACCGCAACACGACAATGCTCGGAAGACAGGGAGGGTTTCTCTCCCCACCTGCGCATGCCGTAACCATTCATGAAAACTTGTAATAAGGGGACAATTAAGGCCAGGGCACATCAAAAGCCCAGAATCACGGGACCTTAGAGCTGAAAGGAGACTCACGCCCGCTCAGTATCTTCACTTTACAGATGAAGACCCGTGCTCGAAAGGCAGAGCCTAGTGGGGCCTGGCACCCCTCAGCCTCTGGGGTCTGCCCACACGCCCTGACCACGGCAAGCCACAGCGGGCTCCATCCTGCCCCAGGGGCTGGCGAGGCGGCATCTCTGCACCCTCCACGACAGGGGGCTGGTGCCCAGCCCTGGCCCGGGGCAGGCCTTGGCTCTTGCGCCCACTTCCTGGAGTGAAACTTTCCAGGGGGTCCCAGCACTACACATTTCCAACTTCTGTGGGGCTCCCCCTTACTGTTCTCACGCCGCATTTCTCCCCACTCGCTTCATCATTTATTAAGCACCTACGACGTGTCACTGCTGCAGCACCGGGCTCCCTGCCTTCCAGAAGCCCGGTCCTTCGGGGTGCACTGGCGCTGGCGGAAGCGCGCCCCGGGGGCCTCGGGAGCCCCTCGCCCCCTCCCCGGTCCCTCGCCAGCCCTCCTGCAGCTCTCGCCCCGCCTGCAGCCCCTCCCCGCGCACACCCGGTCCTCTGCCCCGTGGGGTGTGGGGAGTAGGGAAAGCTGGGGGCCGGGGCGCAGGGGGCTCAGGGGACCCCGAGGCCGCGGAGGCCGCCTGCAGCCCGAGACTGGGTGGAGGCAGGCGGAGAGGGCCGGGCGCTGGTCCCACGGATCGGCCCGTCCCTCCGCACGCCCCTCCCCGCCCGGATCCAGAGGGACTCAGGGGGAGGGGACGGGGATAAATACCTTGACTTTGAGGCTAAGGTTAACGGGAACTGCCACCCCGGGGCGACTTGGGC